TTCCAGGACAGCACTACCTCCACAAGTCATTGGATGTAGGCCTCTGTGTTGAGTCTGTGGCCCTCCTCCAACAAATTCAGTAGTCACTTGTGTCTTCCATGCGGTGTCATGAAAAGAGACAAACATCTAGTCTAAGCATCTAAAATAATTCCATGCGGTTGTTTTCTAATGAGAATTTTGGAGATTTCGGGAATCTGATACCACAGAATTTATAGATAGTTTTAAACACACAAAAGGCAATGTTTTTCCCTTTGAAAAGTTAACATCTTTTCAGCCAACAATTCATCAGAAGAATCGTTGTGTATATGTCTGTGTGTGTGGGGAATAGTTATATCTGAACACACACACAGACACATATGTTACAACGAACGATTCATAGAAAAAGTAGATTACTAAAGTTAATGATATAAAAAAAGCAACGGCACCTCCAGGCGGTGTAATGGTTACCAAGTTTGTCTCGCTAGAACAATTACGACTGTGTAGTGAATTCGATTCTCACTGGGTGCCCCATACTTTCGGCCTTGTGCCACAACTAAGCTACGCTTGGAAAATAACCATAAAAAAGCAAAATATCTTCGCTAACAAAATTCTAAAGGTGCATTAATCTACAAATCAGGCGATGAATGTTATCCTTGTTTTTTTTTTAATTATAAATTGTATAAGGACTTTCTTCAATACAGAATTACTTTCGACTCTACATTCAGTCATCCTCAGGCATGGAAATTATTTTTTCTGCTAAAATTCAGATAGCATCCGAGACGAAAAAAAATAATACGAATCGAATTGCTTTTTTGTTTTTTTTAAAATGTGTTATTGATAACGGATACAAACTTTTAGAGCATGCAGTCGCAAAATTAACGTTGATTTTTTTAAAATTTAATTTTTTACTAATATGGCAATTTGAGAATTTTTTGTTATATGAGTTTATCAGTCAATGTGGCATGAACTAAACAGTTCAATAAATAGAGTGATGTCTCAGTTGTTATCCCTAAAAATTTCACTTCAGATCAGTTCGTTTAAATGAAATATGTGGTGCAGTTCCATTTATATTACAATGAATCATTCATACAAAAAGTAGATTAGTAAAGGTAATGATATCAAATGACGAAATACTTAGGTAGCAACATTCTAAAGGTGCATTAACTTACAAATCAAATACTAATTTTGTATAAATGATTCATTGTAATATAAATTGAACTGCACCACATATTTGATATATATATATATATATATATATATATATATATATATATATATATATACATGCGTGTGTATTAAGAAACTTACATATTACCTGATATTGATTGCACAACTCAGAGTTTCATGCTTTCTGCAATCGCCATGTGCAAATCTTTGGGCTTATTTTTGGGTTTAACACCGTTTTTTAATACTTCTAGTTATCGCGCGATATTTTATTGTTACGGTGTATTATTATTGCTCTTAATTATTTAAATTAATTGAAGTTTAATTTTGGATTTGAATTTAGACCCAGATTAACATTTAAGATTGAAGATAAGGTTGGAAACAAGAATTATAAATTTTAAAACGGACGCTGATGTTACGGAAAAAAAATTGAAGATCTCTGGGGGATATTTTTAATATATATAATACTAGCAGCTTGGCCCGGCGTTGCCCGTGCTTGATTAAAAAATCGTACGACTCATACAGCAATCGCAATCACTTGACTTAAAATAATTTTGCCTTTCCTTGCCTTTAAAAGAGTGCCCTTTGCCGTGCTGATGTTGCTATATGCCTTACTTCTTGCCTATCTCACACTGCGAATTTTTTCTAAGCTCTATACTATAAAGAACTAATCAAAATGAACACAAAACGATCAGCTTTAAAAAAGGACTCGTAACTGGAAAAACCGAATGTAAAAAGAATGTTAACAACAAATACTTTTTCACACCTAACCCAGTTGTGCAGAATCAGAATCAACGTTGAGTTTAAGCAAGCGAATGAGACAATTGGAGTAAAGTGCCATGAAGATTTAAATTTTTCCCACTTGCGACGAATGCAGCTATCGATTTTTTTTTGCATGATAGCATGCTAGTAAACATTCGTGTCATTAAGCTGTTAGCTCTCACGCTGTCCAGTAGAATCTTTCTGCCTATTCGTGGCAGCCAGCTATTGGCTCTCACTCTGCCCAGTAGAAAATGGCTGCAAACTACATGAAAACTGCCGTAGAAACATGAAAGAATCGACTATTTCCACTATCGATGGGAGTTGGGAAATGCAAATCGGTCTTGGCGTTCCCACTAACTTGGAGCATGTGCATGTAAATGTTGGTGCAAATCAGTCGAAAATTGCGGCCGTACATTCGTGCATTATATATATATATATATATATATATATATATATATATATATATATATATATATAATGCATATTTGTGTATTCTCAATCCATCTGGAACATTATCATAAGTTGATGTGTTGGCTCTAATATATATTAGGTCTCCTGAAAGTTGTGAGTTCAACCACTTGTCGTAACAATTAGTGTCATACTCTGTTTCAGTGGAAGAAAAAATCCAGACAACTAAAAGTTGTGAGTATTAATTAATTAATTAATTTATTGATATGAAATGAACCGTACGCATAGAAAGCTTTATGAGAACAATATACACCTTTGACTTCGATAAAGATCAGTCTGATGTTCCACGAATGTTCCATAGTAGGATGTCCGATACCTACAGGAAAACGGAGTATACATCCAGAAATATGATCAAGCTGAGTTAAATAATGAGAAAATAATGAGAAAATATAATATATATATATATATATATATATATATATATAAGAAAGAACATTACAGCCCATCAAGTACTTCGCTTAAATTCATAGAAATCTAGGTGTCGTAGATTAGAGTGAATCAGAAAAATTACCACGAAAAGATTTATAGAAAAGGAAGAGGGAATCTATGTCCCGATGATGTGAAATTTATTGAAATCGTGACTCCAGATAAGGAATTATAACATTTCAGATTCTTTTTTCAAGAATCTCTAAATACGTGGTATTCACTTAAACACCTAAATATCTAAATCAACCTGTAGTCATACCGATTTTTAAACATCAGAAAACTAAATATACATATTAATTGCTATAATTTGAATAGGTGTTAAACTCAAAGAAAGCGTATGATATTTTTTTTTGTTTATTTATAGAACTTTCTTTACGTAATAAACTGATTAATTACTCTTCTTAAGCTATAGTAGTTTTTTCAGTATAAATATTAGGAGATCGTTTTGCTAGGTCAAGCTATTTCAGTTAATTATCAGTTTTTGTTATTTTCACTGTGCGATTCAGCCTTTACACAGTTTATGCGAATGTATATATGAGGTAGATAACATTTAATCCTAGCCTTGAACAGGTTAAGTTTGTAGTGATGGGAATATTATCCTCTTGGGAGTAGGTCCAACAGAATAGCAGTTTGCGGAAAGATGCTGCTCGAATGAAACTTGCTGCTCACCAATGGAAAACGAAATGGTTTGCTACAAAGTGCATAGTATGAAGGGTCTTAGTCGTAAAGGTTGGTTCTGGTTGATTCAAAGAATGTAATTCTTCTGATCACTTTTCATGGAAATAGTGATAGAGTAGTGACAGGCTTGCGATGTTTCGTATGTGAGAAAGGGATTGTAGGGTGAAAGATAGTTTGTCATCCACAAGGACGTGGAGACGATTTGGACTTTATCTGGAAAGTGAGAATTGGGCAAACCCTGACCATTTATGGCGGCAGGACTTCATACACGACCTGATCTGGCTCTTCGAAATGTAGAAAATTAGCACGAGGAATCAGGTACTCGATGGAGCAGTACATGAAACACACACTTTTTTCTAGATCTTTCGCTATGAGTAATATGTACGAGGCCCACGAGGCCTGGATTGAGTTTAAGCCCTATAGTCCCACAAGGCACGAGACGTCACTGAGTAAACACCATTTTTCATGACTGATGATATTTCAGTGTCCGATCTGTGGTTATGGAATGCAACTAGTTTGGTTTGTAAGATATCGAATGTAACCAGCCAGTCGCCCACCACTCCGCAGTTAGACGTAGATCAGAGGAAATTTATGCAGCCAGGCTCTAGTTATCTAGAGGTTTAGAGGTGCAGCCATATACCATTGTATCATATGCATAGATATTCGCAAATGATCGAAGTATGCTCTTAGGCAGCTCATTTTTGTAAGTTAAAAGTAAGCTGGTGTGTTAAGAGATATTTCTAACGTATGTCCTTTTTAAGGATGCCATCGAAGTAATTAATAAAGACGTTATAGTCAGATCTCATCATTAAACACCTATATAATTCCGGGGGAATAATTACGACCTGTTTATTTATAATATATTATTCTCACAGTATTAATCTTAAACGGATATTCGCGAATATTCCATAAAACAAACACATACTATATATATTTACATATGCTTGTGAAAAATCATCAGTTTATCTGTATGATAGATATAAAAATGCAAACAAGTTTTCTTATTTAAAAAAAAACCATAAAAACGTATATATCTCCTGTAGCCTAAATATCCTAAATGACCTAAATATCCCTGAATTATTTTTGAAAAAAAAAAAACATAAATATTTACGACTGTGCTGAAATGATGGCTTCACTAAAGGAATATAATAATGTAGAAAATAAAACGAAATCTATTTTTTCGTCTCCCTTACTAGAGGAATTAAAACCATGTTTTCAATTTGCAATATATTTATCGAAACCCTGTCTATAACATTGTTTGATTCCGATTAAGCAAATTTCAGATAGAGAATCACATTGATTTGATTAGTCAATGGAATAATTTGAATTTAAATGCCTGCATAGATTCAGTAAATAGTGATGTCTCTTACCGAAAGCATTACGTTTCCTTTATTCACTGATCCTTAATTAATTTGCTCCATACTGTGAGTTAGCAAAGCTCGAGGTTTATTTCATTTTCACAATCTAGTTTTTTTTCTGATTTTCTTTGTATTAAATTCCACATGTAATATTATTATAATGCCATGTTTTTACCTCTCTCTCTTTCTCTTTCTTTCTCTCTCTCTCTCTCTCTCTCTCATATATCAAGTTAGAAAAATCAAACCTATAAAGCGTTTTCATATTCTAAAATATTAAAATGCTGAATGGAATACTATCGCGGTTTCGACCGCCAAGCTCTCATTCAGGTGGTTAACTCAGTGAAATAATCACAGACAACATAGCAAGAACTTAAATTTCTTAATGCAGCAGCGAAAGTAATGAGGGGGGAGGAGGAGTATTGTTTTTTTTCCAATTGGAACTGGGTTCGTATGACACTAAGGTCAATTTCCTTATGTGCCTATTTATATTTATTTATATATTTCGCCATAATTTCGGAATGGCCACTATTTCCTCTTGACCAATTAAAGTATTTGCAGTTCACTTTACTAGCTTTACTTTTCTTAAAATATTCCATTTAATGCCCGGAATTCTTTAATTTTTTTCTCCAACAATAGTTTCCTAGCCTTGTATTTTGACAAAAGTGTCCTCCTCTCTTAATACAGATACCCATTTTTTAAAATTTTTTCATTGAATATTTCATCATTCGAAGAATATTTCAATAGTCAGCATTGCACGCCTAACGGGCTATCTCTGATTACCTCTTAACAAGTGGTTAGATGCCGTATTTACGTGTATTAAAGCCGTATTTTGATACATAAATGGTGAAACCGTTTCAGTCAAGAGATTTAGCTCCATATAAAAAAACTGGGCGACTTTCCTGTTGACTTTCACCGTAATCTCGAAATCCAGTTCTTTAAACAATTTGCGTACTTTTTTTTTCTGATGGAATAATTTCTTTCTTTTATTATCCGGTACCAACCCACCCTTCAACAAGTAAGAACTAATATAACGAAAATATATTTTACCCTTTTTAATTAAGCATTTTCTTAAAACGTCTGGGTTGTACAAATTATTTAATCGCAACACAGTAAAGCTGAGCTAAAACTGAACTTGCAATATAGGCAACATTATTAAAATGTTGAACAAAAGAAATTCGAATCTTGAAGAATATAGGAGGAGTGGAACAAAGGTTCTTTGTAATTGCAGAAGAAAAAATAATTGACCCTTAAATAGGGTATGTTGCACAAAAAGAGTAGTATCTTGTGCCAAAGTAGAAAATGACAATGGTGGTGCAAAAACATATATTGATTGCACTGAGAATCAGTATAAAAATAGGTAGTATAATCATACCTCGTCTTTCAGAATACCCGAAAGCATGTTTAATACGAAGCTAGCAAACTATTATTGAAGTTTTAGAGAAGAAAAAAATTGAAGAAGCCCGGCCATTAAGTAAAATATTTTAAGAAAAGTAAAAGCTAGTAAAGTGAATAGCAACTCCTGCAAACTGTGTCAGTAGGAGAAGTTGGCCATTTAGCATTCAAGGTTGGTGCTGAGTTGTTGAATGAGATGTTCGAAATTATGTCGAAATGTAAGCACATGAGGAAGTTGATTTAGGATTATACGAACCAGGTTGAAGTTGGAAAAAAATTTTTTTTCACAACTCCTCACCCTGATTACTTCGGGTGCCGCATTAAGAAATTTAATTTTTTGCTGTGTTGACTGTGATTTTCGCTGACTTAACCACCTGATGATATATATATATATATATATATATATATATATATATATATATATATATATATATATATATATATATATATATATATATATATATATTTTGCAGTTATTTGTATGAAATTTAGTAGCAATAAAGTCGCCACTGTCTATCATTCCCAGACAATACATATCTACCTACTATTCTGGTTTATTGTCAGCTCTCTCTCTCTCTCTACTCTTTCTTTCTCTTTCTCTCTCTCTCTCTCTCTCTCTCTTATATATATATATATATATATGCATGTTTCTACACATCTGTCTGTCTATCAGCTTACGTCTCTACATTCAAGTCATGTTTATCTGTTGTGTTTAATTTTACAAAATTACCTATTGATTTCGTTCACATTATTTACATTTTTCAGTGTTGTCCTCATCTTTATTGCCTCATTCACGGCGTTTCGACAGTTGCAAGCTCTGGCATTCTTTAGGTGATTGGAATTTTTAACTGAATCCTTTGTTTCGGAGTAGATTGTTCTAGTTCCACGTGTCGTGACTCTTCCTCGTGTCTAAAATTATCCCAACTCTCTAAGTTTTTTTTTTTTTTTTCACCACTGTCGTAAGAAGTTACTGAACACGCAATACTTTGGGTTATGTCACAGGATTTAAACATTGCTTTTATTCACTAGACCATGTGCCCTTGAGGATATCAGTATATGAATTTCCATTATAAGTCTCAAACATTTATTACCTCAAGGACACATGGCTTAGCGGATAAAACGTTGGTGGTATTAAGTGACTTGACACAAAGACTTGTAAGTTCAATACCTGTCCACAGCAGTGGTGAACAAAATCGTGGAGAGTTGAGTTAAAAGGAGTTAAAGGGAGATAACTGAGACATTAGAAGAGACAGGACACGTGGATTTAGAACAAGCTGCTAAGAAATAAAGAGTTCCGTTTTAAATTTCAGTCACCTGAAGAAGGCCCGAGAGTGCAACTGCCGAAACGGTGTGTATATGTCAACAACGATGAGGGCAACTGTCCGATCAATGTAAATTATTACAATACCTCATCTCAGAAATATTGACATATATCTATTTTATTGTGTTCATATCTATCTATCTATCTATCTATCTATCTGTCGCTGTAACTAGGTAGCTGTTTCATTTCATATCTATCTATCTCTGTATTTTCCTGTTTATCTACTTAAGTACATGTCTTTATCGTTCTGTTCCTATCTATTTATTTATCTATCTATCTATCTATCTATCTATCGCTGTAACTAGGTAGCTGTTTCATTTCATATCTATCTCTGTATTTTCCTGTTTATCTACTTAAGTACGTATCTTTATTGTTCTGTTCCTATCTATCTATCTATCTATCGCAGTAACTAGGTAGCTGTTTCAGTTCATATCTATGTCTCTCTGTATTTTCCTGTTTATCTACTTAAGTAAGTGTCTTTATCGACATGTTCCTATCTATCTATCTATCTATCTATCGCAATATTTTTACGTCTTTTTCTTTATATACATGCAAATATCCATCTATTCATTCCTATTTATTAATTATGTATCTATCTCAGTTCCTATCTATCCATCTATCTATCTATCTATCTATCTATCTATTTGTTTCTATCTATCCATCCATCGCTGTAACTAGGTAGCTGTTTCAGTTCATATCTATCTCTGTATTTTCCTGTTTATCAACTTAAGTAAGTGTCTTTATCGTTCTGTTCCTATCTATCTATCTATCTATCTATCTATCTATCTATCTATCTATCGCAATATTTTTACGTCTTTTTCTTTATATACATACAAATATCCATCTATTCATTCCTATTTATTAATTATGTATGTATTTCAGTTCATGTCTATCTATCTATGATAGATTCATATATTAAAATTCCTATACAGACACTCACACACACACACACACACACACACACACACACACACACATATATATAAATATGTATATGGATGTGTGTGTATGTGCGTGTGTTTGTGCGAGGCCGTCTATGTGTGTGGGTGTGAGCATTACATTTACACTTTTCTGGATGCTCGTCGCTTTTCCTCTTCTGCATTTTAGGTTCGTTAATTTAATATCTTGCACATGTGTCCGTGTCGGCGAGACATGTTTTGTAAAGATCGGAAAATGGACGTCCCTTGGCGATAGCAGTGACATAAATAGCCCAGCCTTATTCAGTACCAGTTATAGAAGCAATCACCGAGGACTGGTCAAATCTGTGGCTATTATATTGACAAGTTCGTCCTTTTGCATATTTCTTTTTTTTTTCTATCATGGGTAGAGCTTCTGGCCGTTACCAATTAAACTTCCTTTGTCTGCTTTGGTTCCAAGACCATCATAGATAATTGGTTTATGAAGCGGGGAAAGGTGAACAAAAGACATGTTTGAAGATGGAAACAAAAGGATGAATGAAAACGTAAGTAGACAAGAGTTTGTTTAGTTATTCTTCTTCAGTGAGGGGTTGCTCCTTAAGACTTGTGTACTAGACAGCCGAGTTAAATCAGCTGGAAGCAGGGACCAACTGGGAAAACAGGTCAAACAAATTTAAGTAGTTGCAAAAACAGACGAAGATTAATTCGAACTAATGATTAAAACGACTGGCAGAAATGGTCAATAAATACATAGGTGAAAAAGATTTTGATATTTATATGTATGTATATAGATGAACAGATCACACACACACATACACACACATACATATATATATATATATATATATATATATATATATATATATATATATATATATATATATATATATATATATATATATATATATATGTGTGTGTGTGTGTGTGTGTGTGTGTTGGAGGCACGGTGGAGTAATAGATAGCAGCTTGGGCCGAGTTCAATTCCTCGATCCATTATATTCACTTGCCTTGGGAAAGGTGTGAATCCTCTTCTTCTCCCCCCAGCTATGGGTAAATAGAAGGACAAACTGGGTTCTATAGCCTTGGATGGCAACTGGTCGAGGAGAAGGACAACTCTGAATTCAAAACCTGCAGAGGGTTGTTTGGGGACCTTGTGTCATCTAGTTCACCAGGTCTCTGTATTCAGCCCTTCAAAAAGTGTGGATGGTCCTGAACGAAACCTTCACCACTATAATCAAACCTCATGTGGTTTTGTCGGGCTGCCAGTTTCCTAGGAACTGATCTGAGAATATATATATATATATATATATATATATATATATATATATATATATATATATATATATATATTAATAAAAAAGATAAATATGAACTTACTGGGATAGATGAAAAAGACCATGATATACATATGTATATATATAAATGAATAGACCTATATATATATATATATATATATATATATATATATATATATATATATATATATATATACTGTTACATTAGAGTCTGTAAATATTCAATATAAAAAACTGTACATTTTGTTTCAACTTTAAACCAACGTTTATTCATTTGGCAAACGATGATGGTATTAAAAGATTTTATTAAGAAAGACGATTACCAAAATGTTCCATAAAAAGTTAAAAAAAGATTTATACTTTTGTATTGAGCCCTGTTTTAAAGTAATCTTTTGAACGTTGAAATTGTATTCTTCATTCTTTTACACACACACACACACATATATATATATATATATATATATATATATATATATAGATAGATAGATAGAGAGAGAGAGAGAGAGAGAGAGACCGATATGAACTGACTGAGATAAATTGATAGATAGACAGATAGATATAAACTGACTTACATAGAGAAATAGATACATACATAGATAGAATATGAAAAGAGTGAAATGCATAAATAGATTTGAACAAACGGAAATAGTGTAAACTTATAATTGATATGACTTTTCACGTGTTGAATATCATAACTCTCTAAGACTTCTACCGATTTCTACCGCATTAAGTAATTCTGTCTTCTCTTTACTAAATATGCAATAATATGATACCACCACATGGAAGAGAAATCACGTCCGCTAGAAATATCTTGATATTTGCAATATTGGTAACAATTATAATTAAATAACAAAATATTGTTAACGAATTTCCGTGCTCTTTGGGTGACTGAATGCATAACGAGGATAATAATTATAATATTAATAATGATAATAATAATAATAATAATTGTTATTAATAATAAAAATAATAATTGTTATTAAAGACCACAAACAAAAACGGTGCCTCCTTGTTGATATGGCAGTCCCTGCTGACTGCAAAGTATCTTAGAAGATATTCAAAAAGCTGTCAAAATACAAGGATCTTGTAATAGAAATCTCGAAAATTTGGCATATGGGAACATCAACAATCCCTGTTGTACTTGGAGCCCTAGGACTGGTTGAAAAAGATTGCAGTAGACTAATTGAAGGGATTCCTGGAAGTTCATGCCTCAAGGAGATACAAAAAATTGTTCTGACAAGTACAGCCCACACTTTACGAAGGGCTTTATCTATGTAATTTTTTTTTTTTTTTGTCAGTGGAAAGTGTCATGCTGCCATTTCTAACCTTAGGTCACTGGGCGGGACCCGGAAAGAAATGTGTAAACGCCAGAAATCAAAGAAAATAAAAATAATAATAATAATAATAAAAACAATTGTTGATTCTTGTATCGATGACAAAATTACAAAACTCTCATTATCGAAACATAAATCTTTTCTTTTTTCTTATATGTGCCGTTTCCCTTCGGGACTCTGGTGATAATGTTTGGCCACAATTTCCATTCCTTTGTAGGTCATTCTAAAAGTTGTCTTTTTGGTTTTATTTCCTAAACCCTGTTCTGCTATTCATTTACATAAACTCCACGGTGGTTACGCGCTGTTTTCCCCTCTTACACTTATTTCAAAATATCACGTTAGTGTCAAATTTTTCAAGCCCTCTTTACACATTATGAGCCATAGAAATATCAACTGTCTCTTTCAGATGTTAGAACTTCTTCGTAGCTCACATGTTCAGTCCATGGAGTTCTCACCCTGTTTCTGTAGAACCACATTTCTATTGCCTTAATTTTTTTTCTCTTGATCTGCTTGGAGATTGTCGTACAGGAGGGCTGATATATTCTATAACAATTCAGTACTCTTTCTTTGTTTCTAACGAGAGTGTTCTGGTTCTTAATACGTTACATAGCTTTTCTAAAGCATCATTCGTTGTCCCAATGCGACTACAGATATCCGCGAAGCTTGTTGCGTCCTCCGTTAAAACATTGTCCAGGTTTTTAAATTATTGCACTTGATTTTTGTATCTCTAATTTGTTCTTTGCATGCTCACCTGTCCTTATGTTTAATCATATACATACAAGAAAACCAGAAAAATGAGGAATGAGAGATTAACGGAAAAAGAAAACACAAAAATTCTCTGGATAGATCTGAGCTACGGTCAAGTTATGGATAGCGGCTTCGATTTAAGGAATCGGGGATCCGAGTTCAAATTCCATTCAAAGCCATTACTTTCACTTACGTGCTAATACCCTTGAGAAAGGTATGAATTCTCTTCTTCTGGCTCCAGCTATGGGTAAATAGGACAGACTCGGTTCTATAGCCTTGGATGGCAACTGGTCTGGGAAGTCTAAGAAAAGAAAAACTCTGAAATCAAGACCTGCGTGCACCAGATCTCTGTATTCGGCCCTTCAAAAGTGTCTGTATTCGGCATTCACCATTATAATCAAAGCATATATGTAGGCTTTCGGCTGTCGTGTTCTAGGAACTTGTTGTGTATGATACACCTAATTTACATAAGCGGACTACCGACCATATAAATATGGGTTGGTACCGGAAGACAGGGAAGATAGTAGAGATTAAGAAATTGAATCCAGAGACTCTTCGACTGCGATTTAGTCAACCCATTATGCAGGAACAGACTTCCCAAGAATATTCAAACTAACTGTAAATATTATGACCTATTCTTTGTTTCAATTTTTAACGTTTTTGTATTATTCCATATTTTAAGCTTCAAAGAACTGAATTTTATTTATATATATTTTATATATATATATATATATATATATATATATATATTATATTATAATTATTTTATATATATATATATATATATATAAACGCTAATTTAATCACAATAAACGCTAATTTTATTGGATACGAATATTTCAGTAGTTGCTCCGTTTATTTATTAAATAGTATATTTATTTATTTTTCTTTGCATTGTACAGTCTTCCACTTGGCTGAGGAGACATTGCAGTCGAAACCTGGGTTGCGAGGTTAGTTGGCATTTTAGCCTTTTCTTAAATATCTTAGATCTACATAATCGATTTTGAATTTTGTATTGATCACTTTTCTGTTGTCTATATCTTTTAGGCGCAGCTGTTTTTTGTTAATGGATAGCGGCTTGGTTTGAGAGCTGGGTTCGAATTCCATTGGGAACCATTACATTCACTTATGTGCTAATACCCTTGAGAAAGGTATGAATCCTTTTCTTCTCCCTCCACCTATAGGTAAGTAGAAGAACAGTCAAGGTTTTTTTGCCTTGTATGGCAATTGGTCTACCACAGAAAGAAATGACAATCTACCGCGGGAAATATCTGCCTCGTTAGTCGTGTATCGAAATAGAGGTAATCACCTAAGCGTTCATCACGCATGGCACATAACTGATTGACATCTAAGGAAACATTATTATAATTATAATATATAATAATATTATTAATTATAATAAATTTTTAAGCATTTCAGTCCAATCAAGGCAAGAAACCACTAAGATGCAAGGGATCACTGAGTGTAAGAGAGTACGAGAAAAATAACACTATTAAGGAAAGTGAATATTAAAAGAACACGACTTGTATAGACAGAAGATAAAGATTGACATTGCATTTAAATTTTAGAAGATCAAAGTTGACTAGAATTCACAAATCTGAAAGAGAGTC